TATATATATATACATAAATGCATCTATTTTACATGTTTAAATGGAGGCGTGTCAGAGGAGGTGTCTCACATTTGTTGAGTTTCACGTTCGTTGTGATGTACAAAAGCAAAGTGCTTCATACACCTGGATTTATTCGTGCGTACGCTGTTTTCTGAGCGTATGCTACATTTCACTTCAGTAAAAAAGACACTCAGGTCTTTGGACATGAGGCCTCAGGTCCAGAACCCTCCAATATATAGAGAAACATTCTGCAGACCACGTCAGGGAAACATCCTGTTGCACACTCAGCACAGGTGATATTAGCATTGTGGGGTAATCTTGCAGAATGTAGCTCTAACAGTCAGAGAGGGTCTTGTCAAGGGSGGCCCAGGGCAAGGTGCAATCATGRGTGTTATCTGGTAGAAATGTCATGGGAAGAGCATCTTAGGAAAGTTGGGGACCTCAATGGATCCTAAGAAGCTCAGAACACTTGRGTGTTTCTAACCTCTTGGTCTTCATCCAAAGGTTTGAATAAAGACCAGTGTCTTACGAGACCCCCACTCTTATGGGTTCTTTATTCATCCCCAGTCACCATAACCATAGGAAAGTTAGAATTAGYAGGGAAATCTCTTTGGTGAAAATGATTGTCTTTACATTAAAAGATGTTTTGCCGCCATCCAGGTCATGGAGAGTGCAACAGTGTCATCAGCTTTTGAGAAGAAAGCCTAAGTCATTGTCACAAGCAGAAAGTTGTGATTTCTCTTGACAGGACCAGTTTGAAAAATGTAAAACTCTCCTGGAGGTAGAGATATGAGCTGAGCAGAGCTTTRTAATCTGCATGGTAAAATGTCAGTACATTAAGTACAGTTTCTTTCTGGGCTGCGAATTGGAGCCTAGTTGAAGAMTCAAAAATCTGAGAAAACTGGTGAATTCTGGTTGTTGGCAACCACCGAGTCGTGGCCACATTTTGCATGACCAGTTTTATAACATCATAGCCTACTTTCATTTGAAATAGACAATAAGGCCTCAGATGTACACCTGTCTGTAATCTGTCACCTGCCAGACAGAGGAGGAAAACCAGACAGATCCACATTTCATCCCCYTGCAGCCTGCAGTGGGTGTGATCGTGCCACTCTCCATCACTGTGGGAGTGGCTGTGGAGCCAACACAAACACAGACCAGGAGCAGTTTGTTGACTGAGTCCAGGGACTTTCTGGAACCAGTGGCAGAGCTGAGGTTAGGAGCTCAGCTGCCAGCTGACACCCACTGTCTCTGTGTCGTTACTTTTGTAGCTGTTGCACGTTTCTGTATGACCCCTACAGCAAGGACATGACTTCTTGGAATCTGCAACCARTAATAAAGACATGAAGGACAAAATGAGCACTTACTGAAGAAAGAAGAACTATATGGTYCTTTATAACTCATCATTTCTGGTCATCAACAAATAGGAATAACAACCCACTTTCAAATACTTTATGCTAAAAAAAGTTATAGCCATTTTGGTCTAACCTGAAAAATAACTATGCACAATCTCATGCAACATTGCAAGATGTCACACTCGGAGTATGTGTTGTGAATGATTTTCAAGTATTACTACATCAAAGTTTAGCTTTATACAAATTTCTAAAATTTACTGAGTTGTAGCACTAATATCAGTGCTATAGTGGATTAATTGTGGCAGACATCTTGAACTGGATTGATCCCAAAAGTTTAATCAGTTCTCGAAGTACATACAAGAATTACTTTCTGATAATTCTATTAAAATCCGTATAAAGGTTTGAAGGGAATTTGTGATCAATAAATGGAAGTCTGAATAATATAGCAGAAAACCTGTTGAATCTCTTCTAAAAACGTTACTCCAATCTCTCCCTCCAATCAGCTCCAGCAGCGCAGCAGCAGTCAGTAGGCCAAGAAGGCCTTGGCACTTTATCTGAAGATAAACAAACAGCAAACTCTCAGGAGCATCGTCTGTCCACGGCCGAATCTAAGAAGAGACTCCTGAGAAACTAACAAAAAACTCTGCTCATATGATGATGATTTAACTTTTTAATATCTCTTCCTGGTTACACCCCTGAAGKGGGTACCTTTTACGTCAGACATTAGAATGTAAAGAACACATCAATATGACACACCAATTCCCATTTTCTGTTTTAAACCATATGGCTGCACTGATCAGAAAGTATGAAATACAAAACTAGATCTAACATTTAGTCCGTTACAAAATTTCCATCAGATTCATGGGATATGTTTGATCGGACAAAGCTGACTTCAATAGATTTAAGTGAGGTGAGGTGGGGTGGTTATTATGTAAAATCAACGTTTTTGCACTTTATATGATGTTATCATGTCATTCCCACATTAAAAAGCATACTCAGAGCGTTGCTTTGACTCATTCATGCATGTCTGAGAAATCCTTGACTCTCCTTTGGTAACCATTCAGAGCTGCCTAAACGATTGCTCATACAACACGCTGCCGAGCTCCTGCCACACAGTGCACCCCTCCTCCATGCCTCTGACTGAAACATGTTCACCTAAAGAAACAGAGTTTCTGTTAGATGAGCAGCCGGTTAAACTTCAGTGCTGTTTTACGGCTGAAGTGCAGTTTTGATGGTTGTTTCCTCACAGCATGAACCAGTTTCTTTATTTCACATCTATCCTGATGTTTGTGCTGTGAAACTCTCTGTGTGTCTTGTGATGCAGATCCTGCCTGCTGTCAACATGCCGCCGAGTTGTCACCCTGCAAAGAAGCTTGTGACCAGGTATGAACAAACACACGAAAACACACAACCAAGCCCCTCCACCCCAGCATGGTACCATCAGACCAGGAACGCAGTATTAAATAATAAACACAAATAAATAACATTAGTATAGTATGTATGACACCCCCCCCCCCCCCCATTTTTTTCTCATAACTATGTTTTATGATGAATAAACACTTTTCAACTAAACAGTATCTTACCACATGGTAGATAATTACAATTATTCCAATAATTACATGGGAAATAATGAAAATTTCATGAATATAGACAAATTTAAACAGTGTCCTTTTGTATGTGTGTATACTGAGTTTACGTTTGATCTTTACCAATCAGACTGAAGCCAGTTTAAAAAACATCTCAAGATGTATTATTTGTAACATTCAGACTGATACTATAGAAAAAAACTGATATCGATCAAACAAGTCAAAACTCTTGTCTGCAGTGTGAACTTCACTTTTTATAATTAAACTATAGCCTGCCGTGTTGCCCCCAAAGTTTTTTTTATTATCTTTGGAATAAATGAATAGGGTTATCCAGTCTTAGTCTGTGTCAGAAAACAAAAGTAAAGCTGTGACTGTGACCATGAAGTATCTTTGGAATTCCTTCTCTATTAATTTTCACAGCCAGCAGATTTTCTGTTTCTGTGGATGAAAAGAGATGATTCATTAAAACAACAGCTCCTTCCAGCTCTGGGACTGTGTGAAGCTGTAAATCTCACTCGGTTTCATGGCTTCACACTTTAGCCAGAGGTTCCTGGCAGCGGCTGAATTCTCCCAGGCTGTTGCCTTGTATCTCTGTGTGTTTGTGTGTTCATGTGGGTGTGTGTGGGTCTTAATGTTCAACACAAACTTAAATATTTTCTTCATGCCTAACTAAACATGAGACAAAATGAATGACTTTCCCATGTGGTGAATATCATCATGGTGTGTGTGGTCGCAGAGAGATTTTAACACTTCAGGACAGATGAAAGTTTAATTAAAATTAAAATTTCTGCATAGAGAGCCATGAGGATCAGTGCCTTCAAATATGAGACCATGGTCTTGAGCCAGAAAATGGTAGGGTGCCTTCTCTGGGTCGGGGAGGAGGTCCTGCCCCAAGTGGAGGAGATTAAGTATTTCTGGTTCTTGTTCACGAATGAGGGAAGAATGGAGCAGGAGATCGACAGGCACATTGGTGCTGCATCTGCAGTGATGAGGGCGCTGTGCCGGTCTGTTGTGGTGAAGCGAGAGCTGAGCCAGAAGGCAAAGCTCTCGGTTTACCAGTCGGTCTACATTCCTACCCTCATCTATGGTCACGAGCTTTGGGTAGTGACTGAAAGAACAAAATTGTGGAAACAAGCGGCCCAAATTAGTTTCCTCCGCAGGGTGTCTGGGCTCTACCTTAGAGATAGGGTGAGAAGCTCGGTCATCTGGGAGGGACTCAGAATAAAGCCGCTGCTCCTCCACGTCGAGAGGAGCCAGTTGAGGTGGCTCGAACATCTGGTTAGGATGCCTCCTGGTTGCCTCCCTGGTGAGGTGTTCTGAGYACGTCCCACTGGGAGGAGACCCAGAGGAAGACCCAGGACACACTGGAGGGACTATGTTTCTCAGCTGGCCTGCGTACACCTTGGGATTCCCCAGACACCCAAGTGGCTGGGGAGAGGGAAGTCTGGRTCTCTCTGCTTAGGCTGCTGCCCACGCGACCCGACCCCGGATAAGTGGAAGAAAATGGACGGACGGATTTCTGCATAACCTAACATCTATTTAACTTTTTCACTGAGTGTGAATGTTAATATGTGTCGTGGCAAAACGGACAGAAAACACGTTGAAAGGGTGTTTAAGAAGACAAAAAAGTCTTGCGAGTATGGTCGTAGRATTATTTATTAATGGGCAGACATTTGAACAGAAAACAATCATAGAAGTCTGTCAGATGTGGCCGCCCGACTAAGGGCGGAAGAGAAATGTTATACCTTCAGTTATCAACATATGATAAAGAACAACCAATTACATCCTGCCTCATGTCCCTAACAGCCAATGACAAGCTCTGAATCCCAAGGTGACCATATCGGTGTGTCAAAAGAGGCCATCTTGATGCTGTAGCTTCTGACGCCTGTAGCCACTGATTAAAGAAACAGTCATAAGATATTATTAAGATACGGACGGTGGACAGTGTCAAGGTGGCAAAGATAATTAATCCACCACAATATGGATATGTAATTTAAGTTCTAAATAGTAAAAATGTTTCTCTGACTAAAATTAAATGTATTTTTGATATTTAAAATTGCAGGTGGAGAAACTAAAATACCAAAATGTAACCGCTTTGGAAAAGAGTTTTTCTTGCAAAATATTGACAAATGAACATGAACAAATGCAGTTCACCATGGAACTGTGTATTTACGGTAAATTAAAAAGTTGGAAGTAAATCGGTAAACACAAACTTGAAGTTTAAAAAAAAGTACAGAAAACTGAAGAACTAGATGTGAAAATGCAAATAAATAAATAAAACTGAAGAGATAACAAAACCCACAGAACATTTATAAGCTAAAAACAGAATCAACTTGAAAACTGAAGAGAGGATTTAAAATTTAAAGAAAAAGTTTACACCAAAACCTTCAACAGTCTGCCTAACCCAGCCACCATGTCCACCTCTGAGAAGACAGTGTCTGAAGACTTGGGGGAAGATGAGTCCATAACCGTGTCAGGGGTTGCCATTGGGGTTAAAAACCTCCTCAAGGCAGGGCGCCAGAGGTAGACAAGATTTGTCCTGAAGTGCTAAAGACTTCGGAACCTGTGGTGCCATCATGGTTCACACATCTCTTTAGTGATRCATGGAGGACTTGGACAATGCCTGTGGGCTGGCAGACTGGGTTGGTGGTTCCCACTTTTAAAAAGTGGGACCAGTGAGAGTGTTCCAACTATATAGACATCACCTCTCTCAGCCTCCCTGGGAAAGTTTATTTCACATTGTTGGACGTGAGGTTTCCCACTGGTCGTCAAACCTTTGATTCAGAAGGAGCAGTGTGGCTTTCCTCTTGTTTGTGGCACAGTGGAGCCGATCTTGTGGAGTAGCTAAGGGACTTATTGGAGAACATCTCAAATTAAAGAAAAAAACACTAATCCAAAGGCTGAGGTCACTAATAATAATAATAATAATAATAATAATAATAATAATAATAATAATAATAATAATAATAATAATAATAATAATAATAATAATAATAATAATAATAATAATAATAAAATACTAGTATTTTGTACTGTCTCATGGATTGAAGGTACCACAGTATATTTTGTTATTTACCTTGTTGCTTCATCTCAAATGCAGCATCCATCCATAAGAAGCTGAATGGCTGTTGGAAAAGACACCAGTTCTACATGAAAACGTATTTACAGAAAATTTTCCAAAGACTCATGTCTTTTTTAAAAGCAAAAGTTTGTAAATTTATTTTACTTCACTTTCAAACAGTTTTACCACTATGTATTCCAGTAACGACACTCTCAAATGCCAATAACCCACCTTAACACACATTTGATAGAACTGAACTGAGACAAAGATGTGAAGTGTGTTCTGCCTTCTTGTATCATTAAGCATGTTGTTCACAAACTGACATGCAAGGAAATGGTTTGTTAGTTGGTTTAAAATGTCAGGACTTGTTTTTATGTCCCAACAGCTCACCACCATTAAGAGTGAATCACATCTGAATCATCTTTTCCAGAGGTTACCCAGTTACTGTCCAGAGTCCATGGTAAGTCGTTGCTCAAGGCTGTGTCTGGGCTGCAACTGCTGGTAACTAGTTGGGGAACAGCATTCACAAGGAAGTGATCAGAGTTTCAAAATGTTTGTGAGGGTTCTCGATATTTAAAAACGGCCTGTCGTCATTTCTGAAGTGTACCCCAGTTGATTCAATCAGGAACATTGGTTCGGGTTGCCAAGGTGGTAACAGTTCAGGCTCTGGTTAGATGTGGACAGCAAGAAATGTTCACAGCAAAAATAAATGGTGGCAGCGCAAAATGTGGGTGCACAGTTGGTTGCTCACTTAGTCGCAAATGCTCATCTCACAGTTTTGAGTTTCCAAGTAGTTTCTAACAGTTGCAGCTCAGTGAGATACCACTTTATGCTTCACTTGAAAGAGCCATGGTAGAAGATACCAATAGTCCATTCCCATTCTTTACAAAGAGACCCCAAATAAAGTGGTCAAAACACTGGAAAAAGCAGGTCAGATAGCTCTAACGTGATGGATGGACATCCATTGTTGGTACAGAATCGTATGTTAAAACCCTGTAACACTAAAACTGTAGTCTACTGGAAACATCTTTTGGAGGTGTACACACTGTACTGCTAACATATAGATTGAATGTAAAACCTATATGACTAATTTAATCATAACTAAATTTTCATGAGTCAGCATAAGTTGTCTAAAACATTATAGTGTGACAGGGCCTCCACTGTATTCAGCATTTTGACTCTTTTTTTGGTCATTGTTCATTTAGTTTCCAAAGTCTAGCTCAAATAAAAAATGTTTTAAATTACATTGTAGCACAAAATCTTTTGTTTCTTTTAGGTCTGAGATTCTCTGCTCAAGATTTAGTTTGAAGTGTGTCATTAAGATGCATCGATAATCATTTTATTTTCATATTGCTGCAATCTGAATCATAATTGAATTGAATCATAAGCTGCCCAAACATTTTGTTCGGTTTTTTAACCTAGGAACTCAGAGAAACCACAACAAGCCCAGCCGAACATTAATCAATGACACCAGAGA